CACTTGTTTGTTCCCACACTAGTGGCATTTGACTGTCAAACAGGGAATTAGGAGGAAGACCCAGGTTCCTGTCTCCACAACCCACCTGACCCTTTATGACAGCTTCCTTGGCCTGAAAACTCCATTTCTTTCCGAAGAAGCACTGAGACAACTTCAGGGAAGGAGGAAGGGGTGCTCAGCTGGGATTCTGGCTCCACTAGTCACCAGTTATATGACCGTGGGCAAGTCAACCTCTAAGGGCCTGAGTTTCCTCATTGGCAAAATGGGGAATAACAACACCTTGGGTTGTTACGAGGATTAAGTTACTTTAATTATAAAGCATCCAGGACAGGGTTAGGCACTATGGAAGCACTAGATGAGTGTTTGTTAAATAAAGGTCTAAGTCTGGAGTGAGGATGACAAGGATTAACATCACACTGCTGAGGGACTCTTCACTTCCAAAGCCTTGTGCACTCATTGTTCCAGATCGTCCTGTCACCACCACCGCCTGGAACAGAGTTGACAATCAAATATCTGTTGATTGACCAAATAAATGAAGTGTGCAAGGTAAGCAAGAATACACAAAATTTTAAAAAGTAATAATATGCGATATTAAGAACTCAGGATGGAGAAGTCATACAGACTCAAATACTGGTTTCACTACTAAGAGGCTGTGTGACAATTAGCAAATGAGCCTGTCACCTTATCTATGAAATGGGATGAATGACAGTATCTGGCTCATTATTGCTGCAGGAGTTAAGAGGGGTGATATGTAAAACTAGAGGCCTGGTGCATGAAATTCGTGCATGGGTAGGGTCCCTAGGCCTGGCCAGTGATCAGGGCAGATCAGGGCAGATCAGGGCCTTCCAGATGCTGGCTGGGGCCTTCCTTCATTCCACACCACCCCCTGGTGGTCAGCGCACATCATAGCGAGCAATAGAACTCCCACTCTTCCGGTCAAACTCCCATAGGGATACGTTGCATATTAGCCTTTTATATATATAGATGCCCAATAGATGCTAGTGTCAATATTCCCCCCCCCCCCCCCCCTGCAACTAGGGGAATAGGCCCAGAGAGGGGAAGTTGGTGGAGGAGACCCAGGCTTTTGCACTGCCTGCCCAGTTTGCAGGTGGAGTGTGGGTCCTCCTGGGTCATCTCTGTGCAATGCAGAGAAGACAGGCTCAGTTTGAACTCTGGCTCAGTTGCATCTAGCAGTGAGACTTCCCTAAGTCTCAGTTTTCTCAGCTGTACCAGAGGACCATAATCTTCACCTCTCTGGGAGGCTGCAAGGATGAATGAAAGTAAACATTTAAACCACTAAGTTCAGGAGGTGTTCTTCAGCAAATGGCCAAGTTGTTACCATCGTCTCTGCCTTGGGACTCTAACTCTGGATGCTTACTGCGGGAGACTGTTTCTGTCCTTCTCTGCATCTATTCCAAGTCCTAAGAAGGTGGGTAGGTGACTTGGAGGGGAAGGCAGTAGGGATGTGAGCAGGGAGCCAGGGCTGCTGTCAGGGACTAAGGGAGTGAGGGGAGTGAGTACCCCAGAAATACCTGGGTGTGCAGGTGGAGGAAACCTCTAGGCCTAGGTGCAGCAGAGTTCCCATGGGGGCTGCAGAGGCTTGAGAAGGGGAGGAGGAGGAGGTTAAAGGAAGGAGGTAACTTAAGGTCCTAGAGCCACAGGCCAAGGCATCAAATTCTGTCCTGAAGGCTTTGGGAGCCATAGGACCTTCTTGAGCAGGAGCGTAACATAGTCAGCAATGCAAGGGTTTATCTGCCCCACGTGCAGGATGGACTGGTGAGGGAGAGGCAGGGATCAGGCGATCAGGGGATCAGGGAGGAGGCAACCATAGCTCTCTCTTAACCTCTGATTGGCTGTGTGAAGGCAGGGCTGGAGAACCTCTGCCAGGCTAGGCTGGTGAAGCCGTGAGAGATGTCCTGGGAGGATGGCCCAGGCTGCCTGCTCCATGTTACTTTGATAGGGTTGCCAGAGCTGATGAATCAGGCCAGGGGTGTGAGGGGGAGGCCCTAGGAGAAGAGCTGTGGTATTCTGGGGTCAGCACTAAGACCACCAGCTCAGAGAAGACAAGGCTGTGAGGAGGCAGGAGGGGGGGCAAGGAGGCCCAGAGAGAGAGGGGGCCTGGCTGTGGGAGAGGGAGAGACACAGCAAAGGGGATGCAGCCGGGCCTAGGAAGCAGGTGGCCACCCTCCAGGCCTCTCATGAATTTGTGGACAGCCAGGAAAAGTAAGTTACCCTCTCTGAGCCTCTGTTTCCTAGTCTTCTCTCCAGTTACACATTTTAGAGTCAGATATTCTTGGATACCCCTGCCCAGGGTGAGAGGGAGAGGGTCGAGGCACCCCAGAAAGAAACTGGGTCTGGACAGGCACTTGGAATCCACCCAGATAGAGGGACGAGGGTGGTGCGCACATGTGTTTAGTGTTGTGAGGATACATCCACACCCACACACTCAGGCTGCCAGCACTGGGCCTCAGCCCCCTGGCTGTGTGGCCAGGAGGAATGAGGTCAGCTTTGGAGAATCTGCCCTGGACTCCCACACCAAGCCTGGAGGTCTGAGTTAAAGAACAAGACTTGGCCTTCCCTGAACCGGGATTTTCCATGGTCCTGGCCTAGCAGAATAAGGAGGGGGAACCAATAAGAGGAGAGAAAGTAGTGTTCCCTCTCTGAGCCTCAAACTAGCCTGCACTCCACACAATCCCACCCCACACACCATCCCCTTCATGACCAGGGGAGGGTGCTGATGGCCATCCTTTGCAACAATGCTTGGGCACCTCCTCCTGGGAAGTCCTGCCTGAGTCCCCAGGCCCTGATTTTGGAGACTCCTCCTCTGACCTCCCATAGTCCATCCCCCAATGCTTGCCCAATCACAGTACTGAGATGCCCTCTTTTCTGTGCTTCCCAGTGCAGGGCCTAAATTTGGTGCATACCAGCACACTCTACCTGGCCTCTAGCATACTAGCTTCAGGGGAGAAATGTCTTAATCCAAATGAACTGTGGAGCTCAGGGGCAATGGCCAAAGGCCCTGCCAAGCAGCAAGTACCTCCACTCCAGACATGGCCTTGCCCTGGCAAGTCCCCTTCTGAACCTTAAAAACTGACAGGCCAAAAAGGGGGCCTAGAATACCCACTGGCTTGGAGCATCCCCAGGCCTGACTCTGCCAGCTGTGCTGTGGAACTTGAGGCTTTGGTTTTCTCCTCTGCCCAGAGGTGGGGTGCCTTTGGCTGAGTCCCACTCTGTGGTCTTCCATTCTAAGAAAAGCCACCACAAAAACTTAGCACCTTCTAGGCAAAATATCCTCTCCTCCAAGGAGCTATAGGAGCAGCTGATGCACAGGTGCTGCAAGTCCCAATGAGGACCATGAAGATACACCCTTCATCACATCACAGAGGGCCCTCCATCTCGGTCCTTTTTCAGCTCCTGCAGATTCTCAAACTGGGAATCAGCACCCAACTCGAGTGCTATGCCTTGGATGTGAGGGAGTGGTGCTACCCGTGGGGACACTCCTCTCAAGAACTATAGCCTTGGGTTCCAGCAGCCCCTGGGGAGACAGAAGCACTGCCCTTACCTGAACCCCTGCCTCAGAGGCAGCCTCTCACCCAAGGTCAGTATGGCTGAAGACAAGGCAGCAGTCCCTGTGCTGACAGAGGCAGCAGAGAAAAGGCTGAGGGTGCAGCACCTGAGCCCCTGGGCCTGAAGGCCTCAGCCCTCACCTGGTGGGCTGATTTTCTGTGGAGCAGAGAGAGAATCAGGGCACTGATTGCACCTTGAAAGAGCTATGGCAGGAGCATACATGCACTGGAGACTGAATGGAAAACCTTGACCAAGGTGGATTTTGAACTTGCAGAAACAGAAGGAGGAAGTGGAATTCTAAGACAGAGGGTGGGCCAATAGCTGGCCAGTTCTGGCCAGACCACTAGCGGGCCCTTGGCACAGTAGCCCACTTGCTAATAGCACGTGAGGAGTTGCCCATCTGAAGAAGGAAGGCTGCCTCCTGCACTTCGTCTTTGTGTGCAGATGGCTTGGGCCTTCCAGGTCATAACGTCACCCCTCCATTCCAAAAAAAGCCAAAGGGAGGCCCATTCACAGTAGCGCGCCCTAAGACTTTCTCAGGGCCAGGACTAGAATGAGCTAGTTGAATGAATGAGGCACTGGCCTGGGGTACAAACTTTAAGAGGGCGCCAAAATACTTGGTAACCAAGATAAGCAATATTTGATACAATATTCTAAAAAGTCAAAATCAATGCAAAAAACTGTGATGAACAAAATATCAAAATTTCAAATAAAGACACCATCAGGATTGCTGATTTTTCAGTTTGCCTTGGGCTCCAATTTGGCTTGGCATGGCACCATTACTGATTCTATTTAAAACCTCATCACAGAATTTTTTGCATTATTTTGATCTAAAAAATACATTAAATATTACTTATCTCAATTACTGAGTTTTTGGCGGCCTATTCAATTTTGCACCTCTCTCATCTCGTCTGGATTCCTGCCTGGGGCAAGAGCTTCCCCTCTAACCTGGAGTTCATTGGGGCCAAGCTCACATAGCCCCACCTCCAGAGGCATCCCTAAGGGCCTTTCGGACACTCTTGTTCCCTGCTTCACCCTGTGGGGCTGACATAGGGGCAGCTGATTGGAGTGAGGAAGAGGCAGGGAGAAGGGCTCCTTCCCTTTGTCCCCAAATGACTCAAGCCAGGTCTGGGAGGTGCCTCCTCACAACGCCTGACCAGTTCCTCCACCCCGCGCCCCTCAAGCCAAGGTCAGAGCCCAGGCCTGCCTGGCCTGCCCGGCCTGCCGGGCCAAATGCTGGCACTGATGATACACGGATGCGCGGAAGCCGGGAGGTGGGATGCACTGGGGCTGTTGATTGGGGCCTGGGGGGTCCTTGCTTAGCGCAGGGAGGGCCTTTGGTAAAAAGGCCGGCGAGGGTCTGGGCGCACAGAGCCGTTCCTCCGGGACCAGGAGGACAGAGAGCAGGGCCTGGGACTGGGGACCGTACTCACCGCGGCCGTTCTGGGTGGGCCGGTACACGCTGCCCACGCTGAGGCGGC